TGCCTGACTCATGGATTTGGGACTTGCCAGCCTCCACAACTGCATGCGCTATTTCCTTAAAATAAATAAATCTCACTCCCTGTGTATATGCTTCACTGGTTTTGCTCCTTTAGGGAATGTAGCCTAAGACACCCAGCTTATGAAGAAAAATATTGCAAATTTAGTTATGTCCCCTCTATAGTCTTTTTAAAAATCATTTTTATTGTGGCAAAAATTATATACCAAAATATTTGCCAGTTCAACATTTTTTACGTGTACAATTCAGCGTTCATCATTTTGTGCAGTCATCACCATTATTTGTTTCCAAATTATTCCACCACCATTAAAAGAAACTAAGTGTCTTAGAAGTGATGAACTCTTCTTTTCCCCTCCCTCTCACCTCTGGTAACAACTAATAAATATTGGTTTTTATGTTGTTGTTGTTATGTGCCATCAAGTCCGACTCATAGTGACCCCTCCTTGGGTTTCCGAGGCAGTATCACTACAGAAGTAGGATTGCCCAACCTTCCTTCTGAGGAGTGGCTGGTGGGTTTGAACCGCCAGGCTTCTGGTTAGCAGTCAAGTGCCATAGGCACTATGCTACCAGAGCTCCTTTTGGTTTCTATACATTTGCCTATTCTAGATATTTCATGTAAGTGGTGTTGTGCAGTATTTGAGCTGTTGTATCTGACATTTCACGCAGCATAATGTTCCTAAGATTCATCCATGTCACAGCATGTATCAGGGCTTCATTTCTCTTTATGGCTGAGTAATAGTCCATTGTATGTGTGTACCACATTTTGTTTCTCCGTTCATCTTTTAGTGGACGTTTAGGTTGTTTCTACCTTTTGGCTATTGTGAATAGTGCTGTTCTTGCTTTCAGTTCTTTTGGGTATATGTTGTTGTTGTGTGCTGTTTCGTCGATTCTAACTTTTAGCAACCCTCTATGACAAACTAGAACTGTGCCATAGATTTCTAGGTCATAATCTTTATGGGAACAGATCATTAGATCTTTTCTGCTGTGAATCTGCTGGTGGGCTCAAACTGCTGACCTTTTGGTTAGCAGCCAAGTGCTTAACAATTGCGCTATCAAGGCTTCTTTTTGGCGTTTTACCTCCTTTGTATTCTTACCTAGTCGTACTTCCTTTCCTGCAATGGAAATCACTTTCCTGAATTCATTACTATCACTGTATGTCTCTATGTGTATCATAATTAGAATATCTTTTGGATTTCTCAACTTTGGCACTACTGGCATTTTGGACTAGATAATTCTTTGTTATGGGAGGCTCTGTACTGTGGGATGTTTAACAGCATCTCTGGCCTCTACCCATTAGATACCAGTAACGTCACACAGTTTTGACAACCAAAACTAACTGGAGACATTGTCAAGTGTCCCCTGGGAGACAAAATTACCCCTGGTTGAGAACCTGATCTAGCCTATCATGTTGCCAAAAATTTCCTTATCCTTGAGCATTTAAAGATACCCATTTTAAACTCTTTCAGATGTAGGATGTGAATTCTGTTTGTTTCTGCTGTCATGGTGATTTTTATTTTTGTGCTCGGTGCTTTGTAAGTATTAGTCCACCTTCCCTTCAGCAGAAGCTATCCTTGAATGTCTTCTGTGAAAGTGGACTTAGGGGTGGTTTTGTGTTTTCTTCCGATGTTCTTAGGGATTTCTTCAGCCCTTGAGTAATTTTTATGATAGTATCTTGATATGGGATTTCCTTAACCAACAAAACAGTGATTATTTGGAGTCTAACCCTACCTCTCCTATCTTTCTCTTCCTTAAGTGCCCATCACCTCAAGACACAGTTAACTGCCCTCAGCCCCATCCCAGTTGAAACACATTGCTATTTTACTGTATTTGGTTGTCCTGGCTCAGCACAGGGATCTGTAGTTTTCCTTTTAATGTTTTTCCTGCATGTGCCAGATGCTACCACTGAGTAATTTGGATTTTGCTGCCAAACTATGCCTCCATTAGCTCAGAGGGAAGACAGCGTGCCAGTTCTCTTGCTGAGTGTGCGTGACTGACAGAAAGCAGTCTTGGGTATGATGGGTGGAAGAAATGGACTGAATAGATAATGTTTTTTAAAAGGATTACCTAATTTTTTTTAACTTGATGACATTGTTATATCATTGATAATTATGAATTACAATAGTCAGATGACTATATTTAGAAACAGGGAATTAAACATTTCATTTCTAGCAGATCTGCTTGGTTCTTTTTCAGATATCTGGTGAATTTGGATAATATCTTATTTCTTATTTGTGTGTTTGATGAGCTCTTATTTATTTTATTTCTTCTAGAGTATATGATTTTTTTTTTTTTATTGTGATTTGGGTGAAGATTTACAGAGAGAATTCACTTTCCATATAGCAGTTCACATATACTTTGTCTCATGTCATTGACCACAATTTACCACAATGCAACAGCTCCCCTCCCACTTTCTCCCCATAGTTACCTCTTCCCAGTATCCATCCCTCCGTGCACTCCTGCCCCCTGAGCTGTCTCCCTGTGCATAAGCAGCCCTTCTTTTCCCATGATTGTTCTCTCCAAGGAGTGTATCTAACCTCAGGTAAATGTTCAACTCTAGAGTATATGAATTTTTTTTAGGTTAATTTATAATAACAACTACTAACCACATTGTGACTTCTAGTGAGAAGAAAAAGAACTTGACCTCCTTTGCATGGAAACTGGTGATTAGGTTAAAGTACTGCTAGCCTCTTGTAAGCAGATACTATAAGATTATATCTTACGATGTAATAAGATGTGAAAAGTAGGAGGGTATTGCTAATTATCAAATGAATGGAATAAATAGTCAGCTCCCAGAGTTCAAGGGGGAATGAGAGAAATGTGGGCTGATCTGTCTGGCAAGGCTTTGCATAGGAGGGACTATAAAGGATGCAGAAAATGGAGATTCCTTGTGAGAGCACAGCCTTCTATTGCTGCAGGTGCTTGATTTAGAGTTAGATAGAGGCTTTCCTGAACGTATTCAATTATTATTCACCTTTCAGATTAAAAAAGTAAAGTAATGTAAGTACCAATTTTTTTCTACTTTCACTGAGAAGTCATATAAGTAAATTTTACTTCTGTAGTAATTCACAAAAGTCCATATTTAAGTGAAGTTTAATGAATGGTCACAGGATTAGCACAGCCACACCAATACTTATTAGCAGATATACCAGATGTAGAATGTCTGTTTTTAGTAAGAGCTCACCTATTTAGACTGGTTGTGGGAAGGCCAGTATGAAAGGTTGTGAATGAATGGTCTTATTTTTCTTAATAAAATGAAATAAGTTTTGAAATAAATGTGAGTTTGCTTTTAGACACTAAAGGACTCATTAATATTCCAGTGGTAGAGTGCCCTGGAGCAGCAGGAAAACTGTGCTTCGTTTAAGAATCTGTTTTGTTTTTCGTCTCTTTGATAGCTAGAATTATTTGCTCCTTCCTATATCCCTTTTTGCTTTTGCTGCCAAGAAGCTCAGAGACAAATTCACAGTGCTCTAAAATCTGCTTATGTTTTTTTGCCTGCATATTTACATTGCCTTCTGTAACCCTCTACCCCATTTTTACTTTGTTAACACACTTAATGTTTTTCCTTAATTTCATATGAAATTTTTTACTGATGTATTTTTATTATAAGATGCCTCAAAATTTTTGTGGGCTGAAAGTGTATATAGATACAAAAACAGATACTGTAGGCCTTTCTCGAAGTTAGCTAGATAAATACACAAATATACCTTATACAAATACATAGCAATAGTAGCCACTTGCAGATGCCTTATGTGTCTAATTATTTTTGCTAAGGTAGAAACTGACAAGGTACTCACCCAGAACACAAGAGTTCATTTAACCTAAATATAGCTATAAAACTTAAGAGTAGCATAGACAGTGACCGCCATTTACAACTCCAGTTTTGAAAGAAAAAGTGTTGAATTCCAGTGGAAGAAAATTAAGAACATATTCATGACATGAACTTCCAGCTTCTCTCTCTGATGTCCCAAGAGTGAGATCTTCGGTTCCCTAGCCTGCCTGCCTTCCAATGACACCATCAAGAATGCTAGTGGCAGTTACTGCCATATGATAATATATTGAGAGTCAGAGGCCTTCGGCACTTTCAGGGGCTCGGGGTCTAAAGAAATGATAGAAACTTAATAAGCCCTTGTTCAGCTGTAGTGGCAGGTCCTATGGGCATTCCTTACAAAGTTGTGAAAAGAGCCTGGGACTTTTGGAAGGATGGCTGCAGAGGTTTCTGATTACAGGTGTAAATGAGGGACTTCAAAGGAGGAGAGCAACTGGAAAAACAAGCTATGGTAGGGACAGAAACTTCTTTTCTCACATCCTTTATGATATCCTGCAGAGAGGTGTCCCTTTTGCTAACATCCAGAAGGTTGGGCAATCCTACTTCCGTAGTGATACTGCCTCGGAAACCCAAGGAGGGGTCGCTATGACGGCAAACTACAACAACAACAACAACAACATATATATTCAAACCCACCAGGTGGGGTCATTGAAAGTGTGAGTTAACCCCGGTGAAGCCAGTTTCTCTAGTCTAGCCAGCTGTTTAGTCAGTGGCTTTTTCTTTTCACTCCCACTGAGGTAATTTATTTGCAACTTACTCATTAACTCTGTAGATGTGATTTTCCTCTTACTGTGTTTTCCATTCTGGTTAGTTCTGATAAAGCATATGGGATTTTTTTTTTTTTTTGGAGGTGAATTTTTTTTCTTTAAAGTGTTGGTTATTCGCCTGTCTCTCTGGGTTTTTTAAGTCACTTTGACTACTGAAGATCCCTTTCTGTAGGCTTAAGACTGAATTTAACCTCCTAGGTTAGGGAGACCAGCAAGAAAAGAAGAGCCTAGTTACCTTGGTTAGAAGATTTTTAAAAATCCCTTTTTAACCACAGAACTCCTCCACTGGAAAGGATTGTGAAAGAAATGAAGAGAGCCATCAGAAATGAAGTCAGTAGCCACATGGCTTTCTGTTGAATGGACTGGAGCTTCATTACTGCAGTTCCTTGTAATGACACTGTGCAGGGTGTCCGCCGCGGTCATCCATCAGGTCGAAGAGGCACTTGACGAAGACGAGAAGGAGGTGCTTCTCTTTTTGTGCCGGGACGTTGCTGCAGATGTCGCTCCACCTGATGTCAGGGACCTTCTGGATATTTTAAGTGAGAGAGGTAAGCTGTCTGCCATGGATTTGGCTGAGCTGCTCTACAGAATGAGGCGGTTTGACTTGCTCAAGCGGATCTTGAAGATGGACAGAGCAGCAGTGGAGACCCTTCTTCTCAGGCACCGTCACCTTGTTTCGGACTATAGGTAATTCATCACCTCTTCCCAAGGTTGGACTGGTGGGAGGGAGTGAGGCAACCCAGACTCTAATGAACGATAAAAACAAGAATGGTAAGAAAAGCAGCCACATAATTTCCCTTCCCACTGATCCAACTGTCATATGGTATTGTTTCATTCTTTTGGACTCTTTGGATTTTTAGAATTTGTTTGCTTTAATAATTGTATAGAAGATCATAGTGGAAGTGCAAGGGATGCATGGTGTGTGTTTGCCTAAAAGATAGAATGTCAAGAAATGAAGAGAGATAAGGATGACTAAGCAAGCTGGTAATTCTTGAGGACCTCTGACAGTGTAAGATCTGCAGTGACGTTTGCTAGCCTGAGAGTTTTTGGTGCTGAGAAAGGAAATAACGTTTGACTGTAAATTTTCTGACTACTGTAGAGTTACATGTTCCTTCCTGAATTCCTATTGGTTCTTCCTCTGCTGAAAAGAGTTAGGGCAGGCTGCCTTCCTGTAAGGTCCCCAGCTTCTGAGGCTCTACATTAACCATAACGTCACCAAGAGTCAGAGTCAGCTCCATGGCAACTAACAACAGAAAACCCCTTTCAGTTGAAAGAATCCTTTTTAGATCAGACAGTCTGAATTGTTCCTACTTCTTGTTCAGATAATACTGTCTTAGGGGCTCAAAGGGGCACAGAAGTTACTGGAAAGGCTGTGTTTTTGGAGAAAAGCAAGAGAACTTGTAATTATAAACTGGTGTTTCCTTTTTCTCCAGGCCACTAGCCTTTACTTATATTGCTAACACATATTTGGAGATGGTTATGTTATCAAGAACTGTATGCTAAAGAGAGCTGAATGTAGTGTAGGCTTCGGAAAGTGTATTAGATTTGAGGTCTGAAGGCCTATTTGAAGCTTCAGACCTACCAATTACAGGCCAGGTAGACTGCTGCAGTTACTGACATGAATTGTGTCTTAGTTTTCCTACTTGTAAAGTCAAGAATAATTCCCAGCCTCACAAGGTTATTGTGAGGACCAGTTTTGATAATTTAGTGTGTAAAGTGCTCTTTAAAACTGAAGCTTTCTACAAATGCTAAGGTTTATTATTACTGTTGCTGTCATTGTTATTCTTGATCATCTTCCACCTATCCAACGTCATATAATGTCAATAATCTTAAAACTTTTTTTGATAGCATTGACTGTATCTCAATGAATAAGTTAGGGCACTCTCTCTAGTTTCTGTTTCCTTGCTATGGTGAGTGGGGATTGTTCCTCAGACTCTTTGGACAGAGAAGCTGGACAGTTGGAGGGAAGGCCTAGATTCATTCATTTATCTATTCAGTGAACTTTATTGTGGGTTGACATGTGCCAGGTGTCTTGGTAAGTTGTAGGGAAAAATGACTGAAGAATCTCCTGTCTTCAGGACTCTTAACAGTCTAATTGGAGAAATAGCCTTTTAAGCAGTGATGACCATCATGGGCAGAATGGGTAATAATGCTAATCGCTAGGTCTCCTAAGAGACCCAGTTAAGTGTGATGGTCCCTCTAACTGGGACCAAGGTGAATAAGTCAGGAAGGACTTTATATACAAAGACATTTATAGACAGAATCCTCATGATCCAGACACCTTTTACCCTTTGAATTTGAGAATGGAACAGTATATCCCAGGTGTTTTCCTTCCTTGGATCAGCACATTGACATCACTTGGAAGCTTGTTAGAAAGGCAGAAAATCTCAGGCCCTACCCTAGACCTAGGGAGCTCTGGTAGCATAGTGGCTAAGGCACTTGACTGCTAACCAGAAGGCTGGCGGTTCAAACCCACCAGCCACTCCTCGGAAGGACGCTTGGGCAATCTACTTCCATAGTGATACTGCCTCGGAAACCCAAGGAGGGTCGCTATGAGTCGGGTCCAACTCGACGGCACACAACAACAACAACAACCCTAGACCTAAGGAATCAGAATCTGCGTTTTAACGAGATGCTTAAGTGACTTGTATACACATACAGGTCTGAGAACTTTATCTTAAGAACATTACTATGGACTGCAACAGCCGAGTATCATGGGCAGATGCTTCCAGAATATAGGATTACCTGAAATTAACCAGGTGTTGAGTATATTTCTTGTTAATATCACACCTTCCCTTTGGAGTAAATGGACTGTTGAATAGAGAAGACAAAGTCATTATGAATTCTATTTCTGTCTTTCATGTTAGTCATTTATGTTCTTAATTCATTTCACCATAACATCTGGGGATGTTGGGGGATTCTTTAGGTAAATTTTCTTCTCTGAGTTGTTTTCAGAGCTGTTACTGGAAAAAGGTGTCCTCTTTTCTATTGAAAATGGGGAAAAGAATATGCTTTCTTTTTGAGTGCCCATAAAGTCTTTTCTGGGAGTGATTTAGGTTTTTTGTTTTGTGGGTGGTACATTTATGTGCCAAGAACCAGAGGACAAGAACCAGTCTTTTAACCAGTTATTGGCATAGGAGAGACATGGGCTCAGTGTTGTCACTAGGACAGATATATGAGTTTACTTAAAAAAACTTTTGTGTTTTTCTGGTTTACAGGGTGCTGTTGACAGAGATTAGTGAAGATTTGGACAAAGCTGACGTGTCCTCATTAATTTTCCTCATGAGAGATTACATAGGCCGAGGCAAACTAGCCAAAGATAAGGTGACTTTTTAATTTCTTGGTTCATGTTCCTAAGAGCCTCTGAGAAGTTGGAGGCTCCTTCTTACAGTGTGAAGAGAAGGAGGCAGGCAGTCTCCTGCTGTGCTAGTGGAAGTCAGGTGCCGGAGCAGGGAGGATCACACTGTGGGGGAAGCAAGGGAGGTGAGAAATGGGCTTTACCATAATAACGTTGATAGGAAGAAAATTGATTTATAAATTGAAAGGCGATAGGGTAGTATCTTCTAATGTGGCCTTGAGTATTTCTTTCATCCTTGGATTTTATCCATGGACCTGGCTTATATATCGGTTTTCTCCCTGGTCTGACAGATCATCTGGGAGGGCTAGGTAGAGATTTGGGGTTGACAACTAGTTAGGGATGATCATTCCATGGATATTGTGATTGCTGGAAGAGTATGTAAATTCTAGTTGGCCCTACATGGTGCTGCTGACCTAAGTACAGGCTAAGAAAAACTTGAGGTTCCATTATTATGAAAATATGTCCTTAGTGGTTGGCCTGCCTCTAAGGACTCTTGTAAACCAGAGTTTGCTTGTGAAATCTGTATGCCCCACCATTAA